ATTGAGTTGCTGCGCTAGGGGGCGCGGGTTAGAATCCCGCACGCAACAAGTATTTGTATGGCCTACAAATAATTGTTCTGGGTCTGGATATTTGTCCTTGTGTAATTTGTGTTCGTAAACTGCCTCCACGATACAGGAGAAAATCCTAGTGTGGGGTAACGATTTAAAAAAAATTATGTACTTGCCTATAAAAGATATCGTGTTATTTTTCTATTGATATTAAATCTATTTTCTTAATTGAAACGGTACTGAAACTAAACATAAACTGAAAATGTTTACAATATCTTGTATAGTTTGAGGTACAATGGTGAAAAAAAAAAAAAAAAAATTACTTTATATTATTTTCTTTCTCTTTTCAACGTCCATTGAAACCCGTGCTTCTACCAATATTTCGTCACACACATCTTCCCAAGCCAAATCTTTCATCTGTCTATCGTGATAACCATCATTGCCTGTATCCCATAAGCAAATACATTTTTCTACGGCCATAATAAGCCGTTCGATGTCGTAATTTTCCGCCATCGTCCGAAGTACAACGTACGCATCGACGTTCAGTTTCACGCTAGAGAATCAACTGGCAAGTGGGAGGAAGGAATCGGACGTCTATTTGTACAAAGGTACAAAAGTATGTAGACCGCACCTTCATAAAATCGGACCGGCAATAAAATTGTAAACACTTTGGCGCTTTTGAATAAAACTAATTTTACGGATTTTATCGCGTATATTAACTTTGGCGCTGTTTCCGACTTGGACGTCAGATACGACTCGATCGGATCGGATGTGTATTAAGTATTCAAACAAATGTATGGCACGAGTGCCTTCAGACAGACTGTTCAGACAATTGGGTGGGACTGTCGGATGAAAAAATCTCACGTGTATTATTACTAAAGGGATCCATTGGCGAACCGGCGAGTTAACGATATACACTGTTGGCTCGTTGGGTTGTCGACTCGCGTTGCTAATCCATTGACATATCAAACAGTTGATTCTCGATCGCCAAAATGGCGTGTTCTCAGTCGAAGTTACTTTGTTATTTAGGTATACTGCTACAACAAGAACAACCGAAGAAAAGAAAAGACGGCACCAACTGTGGGCCAAACACTAGTTGCAAGAGAGACAACGCTTGTCCCATGTAAATTTAGAGGCAGAACTTATTGGTGTACCAAATGTTTATTGAAATTATATGAGGATGTCCGAGGAAGTGTTAGTAAGTGAAAAGGGTTTTTTTCACTGTTCCATAGTACAGAGCATCATTAATTATCTTTTCTGCGTGAATCCTCTGCCCATGGCCCTTAATTTATTGTCAATATTTTTTCTCACAACATGAAAGTCGCCTTTGGTATTTTCGAGTTTTTCTAAATATATGCCTGTTGTTCAGTTGGTTGTTGGTGTCTTCGCTGTGATATTGTTCTCGAAGATGGCTCAGAAGGAGATAAAACTCCCAAAGAGGATACTGACGAAGGCGCAATTATCTAAAAAACAAAAACATATATAATGAGGAAATAGAGTTTGGAGATGTAATTTTTCATCACATACCTAAAATTTAAATAATTGTAATTTTGCTTGTTACCGTTTCCTAGCACGAAAAAGGAGATGAAAGTAATAGCAAATAAATTTTGGCAATTTTCAAATTGTTTTGGTGTGGTTGATGGTGGTGGAGATGGAAAGCATGTTGCCATCATACCACCGTCAGGCGCTAGGTCAGACTACTATAACTATATTTTTCCTACTAGTTGTCTTGATGGCGATTGCTAATGCAAACTACGAGGTTATTTACGTGATGTAGGGACTAATGGACGGACCTCTGATGGAGGAGTAATACGAAATACCGATTTTTTTAAACGATTTGATGCAGCATCTTTTAAAATACCTCCGCCTGAAAAACCATGCCTAGAAACAGAAGAATTATCTTTCTTTTAAGAGTGGTTTACAAGGGCCGATTTTCGCCGTGCGGCTGTCGCTTCACAAATCGCCTCACTAAACCGCATCGCTAGTCCATTTACATAGGTGACTAAAATCGCATGCGGCTCGGTCATTTCATTCGAAAATGTTGAGCAGAATAGGTGTTTATGCCGGAGTTGAAAGTTAGTTATTTAATTATTCAAGAATTGCTTGAACAAACAGAGAAGAAGAAAAAAAGGAAAGAAAAAAACGTAAATTTTGAGTACGTGCATGGATTTCTCGACGTAAGCTCTTGGGTGCTTCGGACACTTTACTAGTGGAATGGAGTTTAGAAGATCTAGATTATTTTAGAAAACGATTAAGAAAGACTACAGATCAGTTTGGTACTTTACTGCTTACGGTTACTCCGCTTATACAAAACTGTGATACCAATATGCGTGAAGTGCTTATCCGAAATTTAACTTGGAAATAACCCTGAAGTTGTTTGATATCGGTGATAACTACTCAAGTCTTACAGAGTCATTTAGAGATCCAGAATTCACGATTTCCCTATTTTTGAAGGACATTTTGTATGCTATATATAATGATTTGCTGGATTACAATATGGTAAGTGAAACTCTTAATTAATTTCTAAATGGTATATTTATAAATTTTGCAAAGTGTTTTCATCTAAGTATGGTCTAGCTTGAGATAGAATATCGTTGTTCACTTCGTATTGTTGTCCAGTATTTTATTGTGTTAGTAAACAGCTGGCAAGATAGTCTTCTTCATATTCAAAGTGGTTTCCAGAAGTGAAAGCTTCGGGAGTCTAAGTGTTGCGTTGGTTTTGAAAATTAAAACCTTGGTTTCGATAAGTGGTAGCTTCGGCTTCATGAGTCGAAGTATAGTGTGTATACTCTGAATCTGCTTGTAAATGAGGTGGGTCCATTGTAGGTCTAATCACTATCATTGCTTAACCCATATTAGTTTGAGCCAACGTTTCTAAGCTCGACAGCTCGTAAATCAGGTAGTCCATTCTTCGGGCACGCTCCGCCTTTTGCTTTGGAGACATTTTTTTATTTATTTTGTACATGCTCAGTGGTAGATTCTTGTCCCAATTCATCAAAATATGAGGACGCGTCGCTGTTTCTGTTCACCGCTGAATCTTCGCTTTCTTTTGCCAGTAACCAAAAACTAATATAAGTTAAGCAAAACTCTAGTAGGGTAACCAAACAATCCAATTTTGTGGGTCATTATTAGTTTAGATTCGCAAATATGAAATTAGATTTTTATGTGTGTTTTCTAGACTGACCATTGATTGATGGTGGTATGCTGTTGATTTTAATTGCTTGATTTTAAAAATATCGCATACCTCTTTCATCATACAAGACACGAACTCAGTACCCCGGTCAGATGTAATTTGTCGGGGTTTAAGGATAAAATTATTAACAATCGCAGAAGCTACTGAAATAGTGTCTTTATTTCTAAGAGGATAAGCCTCTACATACCTTCTCAGATCACATTGTAGTGTGATTATATACGAATTATTATCTATATCCTTAACTAAAGGCCCCACAAAATCTACATGAATTTTATCAAAAGCTCTTTAATATGTTTAAAATGTTTTTGCCTCACATTGGTCACAACGGCTAACAAAGTCATATACATCTTTTCCATTCCTGGCCAGTAATATCTCTGCTTTATATTGTTTATCATGCACCTAATACCTGCGTGACTGCTTGTCGGCAGCATGACATGATAATCGTTTAGTATTACGCGCTGAATCGTGATCACTTATTCTTGTAACACCTCATATAAACGTGGTCCGGACCAATTATTAGTGTTATTTATCATATGAATTAACTCCTTTACTTCTTCATTGTTGTATTTATTTTTAATTAAATACAAATTCTCTATTTTCAATTGGTTACATATACAACTTAATTTCCTCACAAAGGCAGATCGTGCACAATATGATCGGAAAGAAGGATTTATATAAATTATACGTTTTAATTTGTCGCAAGCAAATAAATTATACTTTTCCGGAGCATGTCTTCCAATATTTCTCCATTCTTTGTCGTTCTCGAATCTTAGTTCCAAGGAACCTTTTGGTTTTTTATTAGTGCCCAAAGTTTTTGGTTGATCAGACCAAATACTTGAAGAACGATTATTAGAGGAAAAGGACCGAATGTGGAATACTTAAATAAATTCTTAAAAAAACAGTACAAAAGTTTTATTTTAATCAGTCTCATGGGTTACAATTAAATGTAGTTATTATTACTCTCAAAATAATAATTAAATCAACAAATCACAAACACTTTCCGTAACATTATTAACTAAAATAAATCAATAAAAAATATGCCTCTCAAAAATGTGACCGTCTCGTTAATAAAAAGAAAATAATGAAATTAACCCTGCAAGCAAAAACCACTAATAAAATCTGCATATTCTGCTCCGGAACTCTCAACGTGACACCATTGTCTACAGTCAATGCACTGAATCCGTTCTTCTCCCTTTTTGTCTTCACTGAAAAGACCAGAGCAATACGTGCAATCAGCGTCAGCATTTGGATCGTTAGGTTGAAGAACAGTGGGTTTATCGTCGCTTATCAGATGATTCAGACTCTAACACTGGTTTCTTCTTTTGCTGTTTTTTTCTGACAGTCGCTCGTTGATAGTTCTGGCTCGGGAACACTTTGTTTTTGCTGTTTATGCTGCTGTTTTGAGGATAACCTAACTTCTAATTGAGCTGAATTATTTTTGCAAGCTTTGCCAGGTTTCCTGTCATAATTAGATAGTTTTCTTTTTAATTGAGGGTAAGGTGAAATGGCTTCAGAAGGTTATAAGCATTTTTCTGGAAATATTTTCATTTTTGGTGGGTGTAGTTGAACGTTGGCTATTGGGTGACATGTATTCTATGCCAAGAGTTCACTCTTGTGGTGTAGATATCTCGTGAACTTTACATTCATCCTCTTCAGTTATAAAGTCGGCATCTACGAAAATCTTTCTGTTGAGGGGAGAAATGCCTGTTGTCCAAAACCCGTTTATAGCCAACTCTGCATTTTGAATTTTTGAATTTTCAAATAAGCCTTGCCAAATATTTTCACAACATCGAAACGGCTAAGAGGCCTGCCTATAGTTACAGTTGATGGAATCTTGCTCCTCGTTTCCTTCATCACGCAGATCCTCTTCTTCGTCATTAATATTTGAACAAGAAGCTCTTGGTTCAATTTGGTCATCAAAAAATATTAATTCCTTGAAGTACCAAAGTTTAGGTTCAAATACAACGTCGGCTCCGGCGCCAGACCGTTTTGAATTTTCTACCTTCTTTTTTTCCTTTTTGTAATTCGTCTTCAACGATTTATTTTTTTTTGTTTGACGGTTTGCGTTTTCTTCTACTTCTCTGTACTTCGCAACTAATTTATCTAGATCTGCATTTCTCTTGTCTCTGAAATAAAAGTATTTTTATAGTAGTATAAACTTTTGATTGAATACCTAGTTGTACGTCTACACGTACAACTAGATATTCAATCAAAAGTTCTCAAAATATATTGTGGTGTCCACTAATTAAAGTCTAGGTCTTAGTAAAACAACCAACTTTCAGTAAGTAGGTACACAGCACAATATAATGTCTACTCGCCACCGTACAGATCGGCAATGCGAGTGAGCGAGGTACTACATTTAATTATACATATATCACATCTCTTCCTTTTTATATATTGATTAATTTTATTACTACAATAAACAAACAGAACAATGTTTTATACTTTAAACAATTATCAATCTGAACTTCTTTATCATGATCATAAATTTTCCATTGACCTTCCACTTTCTTAAGATGTACGGTATTTGTCCTGTACTCCTGACCAGTTTCATCATTTTTTATATTTATGTCACTTCCTTCAGAACTAATAACAGTATCCCCCATACTGTTATTGGGTTGGGTTAAATTCTGAAACTAATTTATTTTCCTTTATCAAGTTCTTCACGTACACTTTATCTCCTATTTCTAGTTCCCTATCTATAGCTCTTCTTTTCCTGTATTCATTTAATTTGCTTTTTCCTTTTCTTTCTTTGTATCGGTCTCTTATTTCTTGATCATTATAACTATTTTCGAGGTCTGTTGAAAAGGTAGTTTGTCTCTGAATTGTCTTCCATAGAACAGGTCGAATGGAGACTATCCTGTGGAGAGATGAGGGGTTAAAATACATTAGCTATTTTAACAAATCATCTTTGCAGTCTGATTTTTCGCATTGGCTGATTCGCAGTCGCTTAAGGATATCCCTGTTTTGCCTCTCTACCTCAACATTTTGCTGAGGCCGGTAAGGGACTAAAAATACGTATTAAAAAGCGTTATTCCTTGTTCAGTACGGAATGTTTTGAATTCCTGACTATAGAATTGTCTGCCATTGTTGGCTGTATACTAGCAGGATTTCCGGCTCGTGAAAATTTTTTTCAACACATTTATTGTGTCTTGTGTTGAAATAAATTTCATCATTTCGATCTCTTTATATCGACTGTAATAGTCAATAATCACTAAAAGATGATCTCCGCTTGGCAGTGGACCCAAAAGATCAACGGCTGTATCCACCCAGGCATTCAAAGGGAGTTCACGCCTTTTCATAGGTACTGGCGGATTAGGTGCCGAGACTTAAGTACATCCTCTGCAGCTTTTTACTGTATTTTCAGCGTCTTTGTCTATTTTTGCCTACCAGACTATTGTGCGCTGCCTAGCATTCACATTGACTATACCTGGATGAGCTTCATGGGCCGCTGCTAAAACTTGTTTCCTCAACTTAGTAGGAATCACCATTTTGTTTCCTTTCAACAAGACGCCACCGTGTAACCAGTGTTCATGTTGAAATAACTTATAATTATTTATTGAAGCATCCCAAGCATTGTTCATCAAAGCATCTTTTACTACTTAAACTTATCATCATTTGATGCTTCGATAATCGATTTAAGAGATAATGAATTTGATAAATTCATTTACGTCGTAAAAACAATTTTCAATTAGAGTCCCGATAACTTCCACGGGTACCTTCTTGTACCACCACGATGATTATGTTGTTTTGTAAAGTGGTTAGCATTTTTTTGGCCAATATTAAAATTTCGTATATATATAGGGAAGGTAATGTAAGAATTTTTAACTTCTTAAAGAGAGGTCTACATGATTCTATTTGACCGCCACCGCATATAGATCGTATACATCTCTTCTGTAGTGTAAAGATACGAGAAATGTGTATCGAATTTCCCCACAGAATCAACGGCTGGTTCCATACCTCAGTATAGAACCAACGTATCCATGGTATGCCATCAGACCTGTCAGGTTAGTTAATTTTGACAGACGATACAGATCGAACACAAACATATTAATCCTCTGGCATAGAGTTTCTATTTCATTATTTATTTCGTCACACATGTGTCCCAAGATGATCTTTTATTTAAATACTTTTGAAAATTATTTCTAACATCCAGAAGTGGAATAGTCTCTTACAATACACATTCATTAAAACGATCACATAAACAGAAACGGAAACTTTTTTATTCAATATAGATTATAAATAATACTTATTGAAAGTCACTCTTTTGTTTGATTACCACTGGTTCGGAAAAAACCTCTGTCCTGGGAAGAACCAGCAAGAAACCCAGCGGGACTTTTTTTTTAAATAACAGCTTACAATCATGATGTTACACAAATTAACAACACAACAAATTAGAAATAGCTTGGTAGCGATCACCTCATTTCCAGGGGTTATTATCATCCATAAATTCCTTAATATTATAATAACCCTTTTTATACAAACTTAGTTTAATAAAGTTTTTGAACTTTGTATATTTTCTGGAATTTTGTTGTAAAAGCGTATACATCGCCCCAAGAATCAATTACTGACTCGATGGAGTCGAGTAACTGGTACTACTAGCTTGTGTCTGTTCCTAGTATTTACAGAATGAATATCACTTATTTTTGTAAAACTACTTTTATTTTTGTGTACATACATTACATTTTCATAAATGTATTGAGAGGCCAAAGTTAATATATTAATTTCCTTAAATTTTTGTCGCAGCGACTCTTTAGGCTTTAAATCATAAATTGCTCTTATGGCCCTCTTCTGTAAAACAAATATAATTTCAGTGTCAGCTGCGTGTCCCCATAGCAAAATACCATACGACATTATGCTATGGAAATAGCTGAAGTAAACTAGTCTAGCTGTTTCAACACTGGTTAGACTTCTAATCTTTTTTACAGCATATGCTGCAGAACTAAGTCTGCTTGCTAGTTTTGATATATGGGGGCTCCATTGAAGCTTCGCGTCTAGTGTGATTCCAAGAAAAATGGTGGTATCTATAAGACTCAGTTTCTCCCCATTTAAAATTACATTAGTATTTAACTGGTTGACATTTGGAGTCATGAATTTCATACATTTCGTTTTAGTGCTATTTAAATGCAAATTATTAACATTGAACCAATTTACTAATTTAGATATAGCATTATTTACTTCGTCATATTTTAGTAATTGTCGACTTAATTTGAAAACTAAAGAAGTGTCATCTGCAAATAATACTATATCATGGTTATCCCCTACTATGTAAGGTAAGTCATTAATGTATACAAGAAACAAAAAGGGGCCGAGAATTGAGACTTGAGGCACGCCCATTTGTACCATCGATCCGGAAGAGCTCATATTGTTAATGACAACTTTTTGCGTTCTCTTACTTAAATATGAAATAATTAATTTAAGAGCATCACTTCTTACACCCCTTGAAGTTTCCTGATTAATGTTTCATGGTTAACACAATCGAAGGCCTTGGATAGGTCACAAAATATACCCAAAGCATCCTGTGAATTCTCCCATGCATTAAAGATATATTTAATCAGCTCAACACCGGCATCAGTTGTCGAGCGACCCCTTGTGAAACCAAATTGATTTTTATGAAGTAAATTATTTATATTAAAAAAAATTAACATTTGATCAAGAGCTATTTTTTCAAAAATCTTACTAAGTGTTGGTAGTACAGAAATAGGTCTAAAATTGGCGGGGACTATTTCCCGTTATATATAGTTTATAGTCCCGGCTAAGACCAGATTCCTGCAGCATGCATCTTGCTTTCTCTAACAAAGTCCTATTTAGCCTCTCAGAGATACTCCGTTCTTCTGAGGGCAATACGGAACGGTTATTTGATGAATAATTCCTTGAGACTTAAGGAAACATTTGAAACGATCGTTACAATATTCACCGCCTCCATCAGTTCGTAGACATTTTATGTTAGCCCAGTCTGTTTCTCAACAAGGTTTTAAAATCTATAAAGCGCTACATTACCTGATTTTTCTCTTGTAGAAGATACATCCAACTCTTCCTACTGTAGTCATCTGTCAAGGTCAGCATATACTTCGCACCGCCCCAACTTTTAACCGGCATCGGTCCACAGATCTCCGAGTGAATGAGCTCTAATCGACTAGTGGCCCACTTGCCTTCACCAGAGGGATAAGCTTTTGAGACTTGCTTGCCCTTCAAATAAGCCACGCACCCAGAGAGCTCATGTTCTTCATTCTGAAATATAAGAGCTTTCTTTTGTCGCAACGTGCACATACCTCCATAATTCATGTGTCCCGGCCGCTTGTGCCAGAGCTCTGATGACACTAACATTGCACTCTGCTTCTCCTGAACTCTATTCTTCAGGAGACCTAAAGAGCACCCAATTGGCTGTGAAGTATTACCTCCAGGTGTGATGCTATCCAGTTTGTAAACACCACTGATATCAGCTGCATGACCATGTACCTTACCTGTGACCTTACAGTCCCTAACTTTATAAAAGTGACACCCTTTCTTGTCAAAAACAAGTACATAACCAGATTTAATGAGCCTACTAACGGAAAGTAATTTGGTAGCTAATTTAAGAACGAGCATATCTCCTATTTCTATATTAAAACAAGGAATAATAAATTTACCTGATCCCTCACTATCCAGATACGTATTATTAGCAATAGAAACATGACTTTTCTTATTATTAAAATTTTGAAACATATTCTTATTATTTATCATATGACAGCTACATCCACTGTCAACTATGAAGTCAAGTCTATAACACTGAATAGGCACAATAGTCCACGATCCTCAAATACCTTAGCTAAGTTCTTCCAAGCCTCACTAGCAGTTTTGGCGTCGCGAACATACTAGAACAAGGCAGGCTCCACACAAAGACAAATCCTTGCTAACGCTCTCTGGTCACGTTGAGTGTCTGTAGTAGTTGGTTGACCCGTTGATTCCACACAGCTCCAAATATTTTCTAAAGTTAATAGCATGCGCATCGAGAATTTCCAAGACACGTAATTTGATAAAATGATGAACCACGTAATCTCTCAATTGACATAGGCCCGGCGCCGTTGCCGTGGGGCCGGCTGCTCAGCACCAGATGACAATGACGTCGGCATTTTATACCGTGATTTTTCGAACTTTCTTCATCTGCCCTTTGTTCCGATTGTATTCTTCTCGAATTTTTAATTTTTCTTGAAGACATTTTGCGACAATTTATTTTTAGAATAAACGCGAGAATGCTTTACATTTTATAAGATTATTAACAAATTAAAAGATTAGAAAATACACATTTTTGCAGCTACAAGTTAATTGTTAGGAAGGTGACGAGACAAGTAAAGTCTATGCCTTTTTTAAACTTGACACTATGTAAGGCCAATGTCTTTTAGTTCATGGAGCCAATTTATATTTTTAATGGAATGAATACATTGAATAAATAATATTTCTATCAAATACAAGTATTGTGTATGAATAAATTTGAATAAAAAATAAATTTTACTTACCTATTGAATTTAATTTTTGCCCAATTTCAAACCATGCTTTATCCATTTATCCTTTCTAACATATTCAGTTAGTTTATAATTGCATAAACAAGGATATTTTTCAATTTCAAGTACAAATTTTATGTTTACTTCTTGTTCGGCTGCCATTTTTATGCGACGCCTATTCAACCCACGTAACGTCCGACCAGCACAACCAGTAGCGTGCGACTGACCTGGTATATAGTGTATTATCTATGCGACTGGCGTCAAACGCGTAATAGTCGCGTCGCATCGTGTGCGGAACATAGCGAATTTGTATGGCAGCAACTGGTGAGCAACTAGTAGTATGTGCGTACTAAAGGTAAGTCGCTTGTCAATAGCTTCATAGGAGATATGCCTTTGAGTTTGAAGTAGGAGTGGGAAATATCGTAATTTCTGAACATCATATCGTAACTATATATGGATATTTGATTTTGGATTTTGAAACACTATGTTGTCTGAAAACTATATATTGACGATATTACGAGTATGCCGTTCTAATATACATCGAGATGAAAATCAACCCCATAGGGCTATTACGCACTGTCGACTAGTAGCCGGCGACTCAGTCCCTCGGCGACCGAAACATGGGAAACAGGGCCCGGAGACCGAGCCGAGCGACAGTATTCCAAGTACATTCGTGCAGAATGGACGTTGAAGAACTTGCAATAGTAGCGGCGCTACTAATTATAAAAAGAAAGACAAATAAAAAAAAATCAAAAGAGTATTGGGTGTATCCTTTGTTAGAAGAACGGAGGTCAAAGGGAATGTTTAAAATATTTTATGAAGACGTTAGAAAATATCCTCGTAAATTTTTTAATTATGCAAGAATGTCTGTGAGTTCGTTTGATGTCTTATTGTGTCTTCTAAAACCACATATAACTGGCATAGATACAAATATGCGACCATGTATTTCTCCGGAAGAAAAACTTTTTATAACATAAAGGTAAGTGACAATTCAAATAAAATTCATTCCTAACATTTATTTTTTACGGGATTTTAACACAATTTACATTACATTCCCGGACACATCTATCGGCCAAACCTAGTGTTTAAAGTGTTGACAATCCCTAGCTAAAAATAAATGTTAAGTGGTGCAATAAGTTTTTATGCAGTTTTTTACGAAAACGATGGCCAGTAAATCAGCTTCACACCTGCAAAAACTTATTGCTCTTCCTAACATTTATTTTTAGCTGGTCTCCAGTCAAAACTTAAAACTCAAGGTGGGCCGATAGATGTGTCCGGTAGTGTGTTTAGAGTTACAGATAATGCCATCCACGAAGATGCGCGATTAAATTTAAATAGAGCATCTTTCGTGCTGTTCATAATACTCTTTCCTGATTAGTCAATTTCTATTAGTGTGCGTTTGCATTCATCGATAATTAGCGTGTATCGACAGATGTTTAACACATGCGGAACATAGCACACATGCATTTGAACAAAGAGTGGGGCGCGTCTTCGTGGATGGCACTATCTGTAAGTCTACTCTTCGATGACATAATTTAAAAATATACGGTAAATAATTATAAAACATGTATTTTTTTAAAGTACTTAATGAAATCAATATTATAAACGAACGCACAACAAAAGGAAATATTCAAAATAGATCCAAAATGTCAGAATCTTGCGAGGTATTTGAAGTGACAGTAGAAAATCGCGACTCTGGGCGTTCACGTTCTGAAGGAGTTGAAGTTGGTAGCGTATAATAATGTTGTGCTTCAGGGCGTGATTGTTGACTTGGTGCTGTTGAACGCCCGGCCTCCGGTGTGAAGTAACCACGCTCATACTCGTACTCATTAAAATTTCGCCACATTGTGTTTGGATATATATTATTTTGAGTAGAGGATCGGAATGATTCGATTACACTGATTAATTGAATTTTCGCAGCTGACTTTTTGTGCTCCGGAATTGCCCTAAATGATGATAATAGGGACATCAGGAACATTCTGTCCTCATCTTGTTCCAAAATATCCTCCTTATTTTTGCGAGTTTCAATACACTTGTTTAATGTGGTTAACAGTTCGCTTGTGCCATCATCTGACGTTTTTTTCTTTTTTCTTCCGACTATATTTTCTCTCGAGTAAGGTCCTAAAGGTTCTTGATCATTTGTCAAATGTTCTTGTTCAGCAATGTTACTCTCTGTGTTCAAATTACCAACGGTATTCTTCAAAAATAACAGCTGATTATAATAATTATAGGGAGTTTTATGGGAAGCAGCAGATCCGCTTTTAGTATTTTTTAATCTTCGTACTTCTCGCGAAAAGCAGCTTCTTATATTTTTCCATTTCTTTTGAAGTGAATGACCTGTAAATAATGTATATATTTAAATTATTTTTTAATTCCAGATATCTTGGAAGCGGTTGTAAATTTGTAGATTTACATTACTCATACAGACTTGGGATTTCAACTATAGCTGAAATAATAAGAGAAGTTTGTCATTTTATATGGGTTGTACTAAAAGACATGTGTTTACCGCAACCGACAAAAGAAAATTGGTTAAAAATCGCAAAAGATTTTCATTTACGGGCCAATTTTCCAAATTGCATAGGTGCCGTAGATGGTAAGCATGTAAGAATTATAAAACCATACAACAGTGGATCATTGTGTTATAATTACAAACACTTCTTTTCTGTAATTTTGCTTGCCATTTGTGACTCTGACTATAAGTTCATATACATAGACGTTGGTTCCTATGGAAAGGATTGCGATTCAACTATATTTACAAATTCAACGTTTTATCAAAAGCTAATGAACAATGATTTGCAAATACCCGAACCTAAGCCCATTTCATCGACAAACCCTATACCAATACCGTTTGTTATTGTGGGTGACGAAGCATTTGGACAAACTGACAAAATTATGCGACCGTTCGGTGGATCAAATTTAACAACAAAGAAAAAAATATTTAATTATAGGCTTTCTCGTGCACGACGCCATATTGAATGTTCATTCGGCATATTAGCAAACAAGTGGCAGATTTTTCACAGACCTATCAACGTGAATTTAGATCTAGTATCATGCATCATCAAAACATGTTGCGCTCTTCACAACTATGTCCGAGAAAGAGACGGATATAAATTTGAAGATACCCTGAGCATTCCTGGCTTTGAAGAAGTCCCAAACGGTTTCCAAAGAGCTACGCGACGTGGTGCATCATACAGAGATGTATTTGCTGATTACTTTACAACTGAGGGTCAATTATCTTGGCAGATGAGCAGTATTAATTAATAAAAAATAAATGGCATTTCTTACTTACCTGAGTTTTTTTTTCTTCGTCTGATAATTCTTCACCTCCAAATAACTCCACTATTTCTTCCCACTGTTTTTTCTTCAAATCCCGATTAGCATATTCCTCACTTTGTAAATCCCAAATAGCTTTTCGGGATTGTATTTCCGATATAAATTTATCCGTGTCAAAACTCATTGTGCGCGGCCGTCCGGTCGTTACGACAGTTGCTCGCAGTGTGAATGCTTTCAATGAAAGCAATTTGAAACCGTGCTCCTATTGGTCGCCGGCGACCGGCAGTTGCCTGTGCGTCGCCACTGCGCGGCGAGTCGCCGAGTCGCCCGGGCAACCGGTGACTAGTGCGTAAACACCTATTTAAACTATACAATATTACAGTCGTCGACAACTGAGTCGCCGGCGACTAGTCCACAGTGCGTAATAGCTCATAGTCATTTCGATACCGATTTCGCGACGATTTTTGACAAAGTGGATACTGACTCGATACTCGGCTACGTACGTACAGTATATAGTATATCCTACTATATCATACTTGAGTGACTAGGTACTATTACGAAAACTAGAGTATGCACTATGTATTTTATACAATATACAACTAAACTAATACCCACCATCAATGGACTATTCTTCATACTTTTGCCAGACTTAGGACTGGCTGCAATATTTTTGGTATTGAAAAAACCGTATTTTATTGTTTAAATAGTTAATTAGATACGTATGTGCAGAGATATATACACTGTCTCACTATAATAACGCAGGTATATTTATCAGTGCATTTGCTGATCTGTATACACTATTTACATTCGTTTTAGAAAGTTATGTATGTTAAACGCAATTAAAATAAGTTTTTTGTTTTATTTTTACTAACTACTAAATATTTACATTGTTTACTTATTAGAATTTTGACTATTCAAGTCTGCGTTTGTTAAGATAAACGTTTAAAAAAATGTGAGTTAGCGAGCGAGCAAGAACGATCATTAATGATCAGCCCCGTCTTGTTGAATATCTTCTCGCATGGTACAGAAGTCGCCATAATGTTTCCATATTTTTTAAATAGTTTTGCTAAATATGTATATGTAAATCTATGTTTGCGCCACCATTCGAGAGCCCTATTCCAAATATTTCCAGTGAAAACAGGCAATAGATCGTCATTTAAATAAGTATACACTTCTTTAATGGCTTTTGGCACCAGGGATCCAACTTTCTGTGTTTTTCCTATTATTTCACCGGGTGCTTGATCTGGCTCTCTTTGTCTAGTTTCCCCTGCTATCATTGCAGTTACCAGGTCAAGAATATTCTTCTTTGTATTTTTGCCTTCATTGTCGTCAGAAAATACTGCGAGTTCGTATCTGGGATCTAAGAAAGAGCAAATGGCAATAGTTCCGCTTCTTTCAACTTTACAGAATCTGGTTGTCAGTTCTGACTTTAAATACTAATGAGTTGCTTAAATATACCATAGAACTCTTTGTCTAGAAGTTTGTCGCACGATGCGATGCAATCAGGCATCGAGTCATGGGTATAACTGAGCTACTAGTCATATATTTTTCGCCGCTTATAGATTCGGTCGCTTCATCAAAAGATTTTAATATATTTTCGACTTCTGCAAGGAGCAACCAATCTTCATTGGTAATAATCGAAGTCTTATCTGTCGACAGCAATCGCAGACCTAATATATTACTCCAGTTCAACGAAACTCTTGATCAAATGAAAAGTAGAATTCCAGCGCGTTGGAACGTCTTGAACAAAACGTTTCGGAAAACAGTTGGACTGTTCACTCGTTTGTGCTTTTAATAGTTTTTTTAAAAGCCCACAATTTTTTTTACCTTTTCTAACACTCATGGTAAACCCTGGGCAGAAATCGCGTTTTGTAAAATTAAATTTAATGTGTGCCCATAACATCCGTGATACTTCCAGCCGATGTCGGTAATAGCCTTTTGGATATTACACTATTGTCGTGAATCTATCGGATGTTAAATAAAAGATCTAGTCTTCGTTAATTATCACTATATTACTCCGACAGAATACACGCACATATATTAAATCAAAATAATTAATATCAATTACAATTTGAGACGTAAAGTTACAATACGGAAATTACGGAATTAATATTATAATATATTGACTTGAACTTCTAGAAGTTCACGGTCGTACGGACTATATTTCTTCTGCGCAGATGTCAGACGTCTTGTAAAAAATGCCAGAGGTTTCCAGATTTTGCTGCCACATCAGTATCAGATGCATCAGTAAAAATAGCCATGTCGCCATCGGGTTCCGGATGTGAGAGCATAGTAGCCTTTGATAGGCTTGCCTTGCAATTATTAAATGCCTTGGTCATTTCTGGGGTCATCACTATACTCTGTGATTTCTTGGTGTTAGGGCCAGTTAAGACAATATTCAGTAGCGCCTGCAGTTCAGTTGCTCCGGGTACGAAACGGCGGTAAAAATTGAACATACCCAAGAATCTTCGCATTTCTCCAACTGTTTTTGGAATAGGGTAGTCCTGTATAGCTTGAACTTTGTCTGGACTAGGACGAATGCTGTCAGCTGCAGCTGATATGTCGTGTCCGAGGAAGGTGATGTGTGACTTACCAAATTCACACTTTGATGTATTGACAAGCATGCCGTAGTCTGTCAATCTTTTAAAAAGCTGCCTGAGGTGCAGTATGTGCTCAGATTCATTCCTAGAGAAGATAAGGATATCATCCAAGAATCCATATGCAAAAGTTAGGCCTTTGAGCATTTCATCAACGAACCGCTGGGAAGTTTGGGGTGCGTTTCTCAAGCCGAACGACATGAAATTAAATTCATATAACCTGAATGGTGTAGTTATCGCGGCTTTAGGTATATTCTCACGATTTACCGGTATCCGATTAAAAGTTTTAACCAAATCAATTTTGGAATTCACAATTGTACCAGCCAGAGCAGGTGAGAAGTCCTGAATGTTTCGGCTAGGGTATTTATCCGGAATGGTACGACCGTTAGAGCGCGGTAGTCGCCATACGGTCTCCAAACATTATCACTTTTGGGTGCGAGATGGAGAGATGATGACCATGCGCTTTCAGAACTACGAGCGTTACCATTTGCGATCATATCCTCCAACTCCTTCATGGCAATTTTTAGTCGATCCGGTGGTAAGCGTCTGGGACGCCTTGTAACAGGAGGACCAGGTGTCGTAGGGATATGTTGCACAGTATTGTGTTTTATTACACATTGGGTTCTGGCAGGCTGTGTAATATCAGGGTACTCACGGATAATTTGGTGGTAGATAGTGTCCCCAGTCACAGCCTTAACTGATGCGATGTCATTTTCATGGGCCGCGGATGTTGCAACTGTAGAGATATTCGTCAGGCCGTCGATCAAGCGGTAGTTCCTCAAATCTACAAGCAAATTATAAAATTTGAGAAAATCAGCACCAATAATTGCCTTTGAAACGTCGGCGACAACAAATCTCCAGGTATAGGCACGGCATAGACCAATGTTGAGTTGGAGATGGATGTACCAGTACGTTGCTATCGGTGTGCCATTTGCAGCATATAGCTGGTAGTCCATCTTCGAGCGGGTCTGCTTGACCGCTGATCGTGGGTACACACAAAGATCGGAGCCTGTATCAACAAGAAAAGACACTTTAGTAATGCGGTCGGTAACAAATAAGCGGACTGGTCTTTCAGGGCAGTCGTTAGCCGCTAATTCCGGTTGCCGTAAATTTGCACGGTACAGTACACTTCGTTGCACGGCCACCAAACCGGTTGTGATACCAGCAGATATCATTGTTGCGTTGTCTAGTGCCAGACCTACTGCAACTACGGTTTCTATTTTTGTCACGCGTTTTTGACATATTAAAATTACGTTGAGTATGTACCTGCATTTTTAATGATGCTACCTCTCGTGTAAGTTCCGCTATTTGCTTTGGCATTTCGCTGAAAATGCCTTGAGTGCTCGTGCTCGCCGCCACGTGGGTCGATGGTGCTATTTCATAAACTTTGTCCGCTAAATCTGCAACAGTTTCCAATGACATATTCGCTTACGAAGTAATTACCGTCTGTATATTATGTGGCAGGCGACTGGACCACAAGGTACGCAAAAAACTATCAGGTATAGCCGGCCCGGCTAGCGACTGTAAATATCTCAAAAATTGGGATGGCTTACGGTCTCCGAGTTCTTCATGCATAAGAAGCTGCTTTAATTTCTTCTCTTGAGATGCGGATAGTCTCTTAATAAGCTCAGCCTTCAACTTCGCATACTTATCTTCAGCTGGCGGAGATGTTATAATATCTTTCACTTCCGTTGCATACTGATGGTCAAGCTGAGCGATTACATGAAAGAATTTCGTTGCATCAGTCGTAATACCCGAGATCGCAAACTGACCTTCTATCTGGGAGAATCATAGCGCCGGTTCTTCTGACCAAAATGGCGCCATTTTTATTCCGAACTTGCAAACGCTTCCCTCGTCAGTACTTGTGTTCCCGGTTGTACGGCTCTGGATCTTTCAAATTCAAATTCAAATTCATTTATTTGCCATAAATAGGGTAAATTATAGATTTTTACAATAAAAATAAGTTGCTTAAAGACCTATTTAGCCATGAGGTACGGCATGCAAACTTTTTTTTAAATTGTACAAATTATGTTGGTGGTAATAGATTCTAAATTGTCAACTTATTAAATGTAAGTTATATATTTCAAAATGTCGTAATTTACAATGTCAATGTCATAATTTAAATTTAAATACATCCGATCATTAATTAAAGGTCAGATAAAATAGTGATACTCAGTGATACACAGCAATTTTGTCCATCACATGTCAACCTGCATATTATTATCATTTTGAAATTCCTTAACACTATAATAACATTTTTTTATTAGCCATTCACGTAACTTTTTGGTCATGAGAATCACAGAGCCGTGCTTGAACTGCTTTGGAATTTTATTAAATATTTTTACACACATGCAGTAACAACCTTTCTGAAAGAGAGAAGTTTTTGGTTTATGGTCTAGGACAAGCCGCTTATTATCTCTAGTGCTTCGTGGATATATATCACAAGCTGACTTAAATAACTCTGCATGTTGTTTGACAAATTTATATATTTGTAATATGTACATGCCAGGGACTGTTAATATACCCAGCTTAATGAATAGGGTCTTGCATGTATCAAATGGACCTTTACCGCATATAGCACGTATACATTTTTTTTTGTGCGATAAGAACTCTATTTACTTCAATGCTGTTACCCCACAGAACCAGACCATAATTAATATTAGACGCGACGTAACCATAATAAGCAGACATAGTTACGCTGAGCGTCGTCATCTTAGTTAAACGCCTTAAGACGAAAGCAAACCTATTAATTTTATTACAAATTTTGTCAATGTGGCCGGTGAAATTTAAGTTCTCGTCAAGTACTACACCCAAAAATGAAGACATGGTAGTCCTTTCAATGGTTATATTTTTGTACAGCACATTAAGATTGTTTACTGCTCGTCTTTTTATATTAAAATTTATAAAATTGGTCTTGTTCAGATTTACATTTAGATTAATTAATTTAAGATATTGAACTATATTATGAATTGTATTATTAATGTCATTTTCATAACTATTTAAATTGTCATTATAATTCGATTTAACAATAATGGAAATGTCATCAGCAAACATTATGCATTGATGTTTAGTCACTCTCGGTAAATCATTTATATATAATAAAAATAATATAGGACCTAGAACGCTACCCTGTGGTACTCCAAACTTATTTATTTTATAATCAGAACGATCGGATGTAGTTGTATTTCTCACGCTTATCCTATTTATTTCTACGCACTGGTGTCTATTTTCTAGATATGTTTTAAGCCAAGAGTGAGAAAGACCTCTGATTCCATACTTTTCCAGTTTATCTAACAGGACGCTATGAACTACAAAATCGAACGCCTTAGACATATCGAAGAAAAGTACAGTAGTACGCTGTTTATCATCGAGTCCAAGAATAACGTTATGTATTAGATTAAAGCACGCGAGGGTAGTTGATTTTCCCTTCTGGAACCCATTTTGCTCCGGTGTAATGATTTTGAATTTTGTTAAATAGTCAAGCAGTCGTTTTTGCATGGCCTTTTCAAATACCTTGGATAACACCGGTATTAATGTAACTGGGCGATAGTTACCGATTTCCGATTTATTCTGTTTTTTGTGAATGTGTTTCACGATTGAGAATTTATGCGCCTCAGGGAAGCATCCAGTTTCAAATGATAAATTAATTAGGTATGTTAATACCTGGGCTAGTTCGTTTTTACAGAATTTTAAGATTTTTGTTGAGATTTCATCATACCCACATGAGCTAGAATTGTTTAATGATTGTATAATACGAGTAATTTCTATTGAATTGACCGGTTCAAGAAAAATTGACTTTGATATATGATCGATCGTTGATAGTATCTTTCGCTTTTTATCAATGTCATACATATACCTTCCATCAGTTAGGTTTACGTAGTAATCATTAAACAGTTCAGCTAATTTTGTCCCATTTGTTATTATAGTATTTTCGTATTTCATGTGTGTAATGTAATTTTGTGGAGGTTCGCTTTCCGTTACATCTTTGATGAGTTTCCATGAAGCTTTACAAATATTCTGACTGTTCTGGAGATATTTGTTATTGCAATTTTTTTGGGCTATTGATATGCACTTCTTAAGCATTTTTGAATACCTCAAGTAAGCTTCTCTGTCCTCGTTAGTTTTTTGTTTATAATACTTGAAACGCAATGATCTTTTAGTTTTTATGCAAACTTTTAAGCCCTTGGAGATCCATTTTGGCTTTGAATTTTTATTGGTAATTTTGACTTTTAATTTCGGAAAGCAAGATTTATAAAGTGTGCAAAAAAGATCATAGAATCGTTCGAAAGCTACATTCATGTTTTTCGCGTTGTAAACATCTGAGAATGATAGTGACTGCAAGTAACCACGAAACTTTAGAATATTTTCATTGCAATAGTCTCTCTTGTGTATAAACCAGTGTTGTAGACTATGAGCATTTTCGATTGAGAATGACAATATTTGGGCAGTATTGTGATCAGATAGATGAAGCGGCATTGTTACGCCCGTAGCTTGTTTAATATTACTTAAAATGTGGTCTATACAATTATTTCCTCTAGTAGGTTCATTTATATGAATTTTTAAATTGAAGTATTTAGCTATATCTTTTAATTGTTGCGATGCTCTAGATTCCACTAACGTATTTATATTAAAATCTCCAGTGATAATAATTTTGTAATGTGTAAATTTCTTTAACAGTTCATGTGTCATCGCTTCTAGCCTCGTTAGAAATGAGTGAGCAAATCTATTGTGAGAGGTGTAAACACATAATACCATTACTTTGTATTTAGGGATGCTTATCCCGCAGCACTCAAATACTTCTGGTAATAGGTACTTGTCAAAAATCTTGAGTTCGTTACAAGTAAGGCCCTTTTGCAGAAAGATACAGGTACCACCAAGTTTATTATTCCTAGAATAGCTTGCTGCTTGTTTGTAATTTGAGAAAGTAGCATTTTTCTCTTCACCTTTTTTTATAAATGTTTCTGAGAAGCATATTACATCAGGTTCTGAATCACAGTCTTTCAGTTCAGAGAGTGTCACTTCTAAAAGGTCCTTTTTTGAGAGCAAACCCGCTATATTTTGATGCAAAACAATAACACGTTTTTTATTTAGATCTTTAACAGATTGACTGGAGGATGGTTTTAGGTTACTGTGTGGAACGAAAAAGATAATTTTCCCGTAAGGGAAAGAAAAAGTCTAATATGGAAGTCTGCTTGTGTCTA